TCTTTTATTCCCGGCCTTTTCGAGGAACAGCAAGCCATCAACCATCACAAACTCATCTGAAGTGGCCTTATCCTTGGCCTCGAGTTTGCGCATGATTTTAAACATGATGGGGTCCTCTCAATAGACTTCCACCGTAGATCGAGACACATCATCAGATATTTCAAACTCTGTCACTAGAGCACCCAGATAGTCTGCCCTGCGTGATAGTGCATCAGCCACCTTGTTGTATTCTCCCTTCAAAGGGTCGAGCTTGAAGTCATACATGTCTATGACTTCAATCCACCTCTTGAGTGCATCAGAGAGCACGGGTTATCTTAAAACAACGCAGTGTCTCATGGTCAGATCTCACATAAAAAAATCTGCCAAGGAGGTGATGCCTCTAGTGAATCAGCGCTTTGTAAAGGGCATAGAGCCCTTGCTCATACGTGGACTTAACTAGTTTCTAGGAAGGCATCATTTTGCTCATGTACTCGATCGGCCTCAACGTTTTCCCCTCCTTTTGCGCAAGGACCGCGCCTATCCCATATTGGTTGGCGTCTGTGGTCATAATAAAGGACAGCTCAGGACCCAGAAGCTTGAGGACTTCATAGTGCGTGAGGGCATACTTCAATCTCTTGAAGACTGCCTCGCACTCATCGGTCCACTCCCATAGGGTGTCAAGGCGCGTGAGGTCAGTTAGTGGGGAGACTCTATAGTTCTTCACGAACGGACGATAGCCTGTAATCCCCCAAAAGGATCTTTCCTCAGTCACAGACTGAGGTCTCGGCCAATCACGTATGCTGGCCAACCTGGCATCACCCGGCCTCAATCCATCTCCTGAAATTTAATGACCTAGATACAGGATCTTGGTGCGACCAAACTCACATTTATCCAAGTTAATCTTATACTGGTGTTCTCTTAGGAGACCTAGCATTATCTTAACATGCTCAGCGTGCTCCTCTACATTCCTACTAAAGATAAGAATATCGTTGAGGTACACGACTATAAATTTGTCTAAGTAGTCTTGAAAGATCTTGTTCATCGCGTGCTGGAAGGTCCCAAGATCATTGCAAAGTCCGAAAGGGATCACCACAAACTCGTACAGACCTTACCTGGACTGGAGAGTGGTTTTGTGTTGATCCTCAGGCCTAATCGCAATCTGATGGTATCCAGACTTCAGATCTATCTTAGTGAAGTATCGACAATACGTGGTAGGGGCTCAACGTTCTTAAAGGTGATGGCATTGAGGCCCCTATGATCAATGCACATCCTCAAGGTACCCCCCTTCTTAGGAACGAACAACATTGGTGCACCGAATCCAAGCCTTCTCTGTGAGCTCCTCGAGCTGTCGACGAAGCTCATCTAGCTATCGACGAAGCTCATCTAGCTCCGCAGGAGTTATCCTATATATCCGTCCTCAGGTATGACTTCAATAGCATGGACTATCTCCCTCTCTTCTATGCCCCTAGGCTCCTAAAAAAGGTTTGAATATGGAGCGACGACTGCTTCCATCTCTGGGGGTGATTTTACGGCCTGCCCTTTCTTAGAAACAAAGACTTGATACATTCCTCCTCGCGGTTCTGCTTGTAATAATTACAAAACGTTGAAGCGCACATGCAGCCATATGACTCAACTAACCTGCCCACTTTGTGTTTCCGCAGTCTAACAGTCCTCCCATTTGGCAACTTGTGCATCATCACCTTTCTATCCCAATCGAACCGAGGCTTAGCACCCTGGAGGTAGTACATACCCAACATAATATTGAAAGGTAGCTCATCACTAACCAAGAAACGATATTTTTTGTCTCATTTCCCCTCCTCCATAGGAGAAGGTACAGACTATGTCCTTGACAATCACAAAGTGCTTGTTGGATAAGGTAGATGCTACAAACCTTCTAAGCCACTGCACTTTGTCCCCTAAGCGTAACCTATCCACACAAGCACGACTGATGAAATTCTACGTAGCACCTATGTCGATAAAGGCTCCAACCTTTAGGCCACCTATATCGACTTCCACCACGAAATGTTCACCTCTCGGACTTTTCGTCATCATCGCCCAGGAGTCTTTAGGTCTTTCTTTAACCACTTAGTCTCTAACTCCTCTAAGGACTCAGACACATCCATCGAACAGAGTATCAATTGGTCCGGACCTGTGTGCGGGGCGATATAGGGGTCAATAGCCTTGGCCTTCGTCTGAAGTGGAGAGGGTAAGGCAACCACTTCAGTACGAGTAAGAGAAGCTAATACTCCTATTGGCCCGAAGTGTTTCCCTGTGAAGTGCTCGAAGAAGCACCACCAGAGGCGGAAGATCCGGCAACCAGTATTGAGGATGTTACCTTCCGTATGACTCGCTTGCTCTTGCAATGACTCATTGTATGCCCATACTGGCCACGATTGAAACACGTGCCCCGAGCAACACGGTCACGCCACACTTCGTACTCTAAACCAAACTTCGCCCATATGGGTGGTCCTTCGTCACCTTGACCCTGGGGCTGACTACCCTTTTGATTCCCAACCCCTTCGCCTTTTCTTTAATGGGGGCGACTACTCCACCCTTTGAAGTTTCCCCACTCCCATTGACCTTTGTCTCTTCCCCTAAATTGGAGAAGTCGTCAATCTCAGTCGCATTGTCGTCATGGTCAACGAACATGAGGTTGCCCTTCTTCTTCCAATCCTGAGAAAGTTTCTTCCTCCTCCCATCTATCACTGCTTGTTGGGCACTCCCAAGCCTAGTCTCTATGTCTAAGGCTTTCTTGCTGAACGAAGCGAAGTCGTGTACGTCTATGGAGGCCTTATTGATCAACTTATTTTTGACATTTATGGGCAAGCATCGCAGATAAGTTGTCAAGAGGACCTGAGGATCGTACCACACGCTAGGGACAACAATCAAGCGCTACGATGTTTTTACCTCACTGACTGTCCGGTATCTCTTCGATCCCAGACTAGCCAGCGAGTTGGTGACCTTCTGAGCCCCTTGGGGGTCATGCCACCTATTGTGGACCAACCGTACGAACTCCTTCAATGTCTGGGCATGTTCCCAAACATTGAAGTTTTGACCGTAACCGTGTTGTTGTACTAACCTGTTTAACCATCTGGCTGCTGATCGTTTTAGAAAGGATGCCGCGACAATAACTTCCTCCTCTCGCCTTGTGAGCTTGTGCCTCACTTAAGTGGCACTGTCCTCACCCGAGTGTCCAAATCCTCTTCCCTTTTCTTGTCGCCTGAAAAAGGTTGAGAACTCACCAATGGTATCTTAGGAGTCCACTGCATTGACGGTGCAGCACACCATTGCGGCGACACCTATTGCAGAGGCTGTTGGACGTGCGGCTACCCTATAGCAGCAGTCGCTGGATGGAGAAATGAAGAAGGTGGAACCGGAGTCTGCCCACTACTACCAGCTGGTAATCCCCCTACTGGGAATATGCCAAACTGTGGGACAAAGGGTTGTGTTACATGCCAGTTGGGCGGTGTACATAATAACCGAGGATCCGCAGTGTGATAAAAAGGACTGAATGGACAATGCAGTGCAAGTAGAATCTCAACAAACAATGTGCATTCTGATACATACAAAATGGTGCTGAATAGCGCAGGGAAGACTTAGATACAAATCCTGACCTGACCGGGACTGACCTTATTCACGTAGTATAAGATAGCGAAGCAGAATGCTAGAATGCTAATGACTAGCCCAATCAATGTTTGAACGCAGACCAAACATACATCGTGTCCATCACAAGGTGTGAAGGAGCCTGGCGCTGTACACAGGAAGGAAGCGCCAGGTCCAGACATACACAGACGAAGAGGAGGGGATCATACGAAGAAGAGGGGGAGAGATGGGAATGTCGTCAACACCAAGTCTTTGTCACAAGTCCGAAATAATCCCTTGTCGCAATGTCTGAAGCCCAAAAGTCGAGTCTGGATCCAATGTCACCAAGCTCTCTCTCTCTCTTTCTCTCGTAGTCTGCTGATGCAGTGAAGTCAGATAATGAGAGGGTGAGAGGGAGATGGTGGACTGAGCAGAGGAAGAAGAAGAACTCTCTCTCTGTCACGAGCCAGATACTAACCTGTGAAGTTGGTGTTGTGCTGCAAGTACCTCGAACACGAAGTTGGAGCAACGACGCTGCAGGTAGGTACTCCTGGCCTCCGCCCAATCTCTCTCTCTCTAGTGCTATCCTAGCTATGGCGCGCAACGTTGAAGACTACAACCACCTACTAGCGCCCAACACTGAAGACTAATGCTAACGCTACTACTACTCCTGCAGCGCTCCCTCCAGAGTGCTGTTGCCGAATCCTGAAGACTACTGACTGCCTCCTGCCTACCCGTGAAGTGCATGGGAAGTCCCTATGTACTATCTCAGCCTGCCTCGTGGCTGCCTCCGACTGCCTGCAGTTGCAGGGCGGGCAGTCCAGGAGGCTGCTCTTGCCAATGCCGAACTGGGCCAGGGGCTGCCGCTGCAGCTGTCGTGGGAACAGGCCAAAAATAGCATGTTCCTAAAACCCTGGTTCGACGCCTGAGTTTCAGGGCAGGCCGGTCTGATGACAGACCGGAAATGGCCCTTCGTTTCAGGCTAAAAAGGATGCTGCCATTTTTAGTCTGAAACGACACAGGGTCTGTAGGCCCCTGGATTTCATGCTTTCGAGCTGAATGGTCACGGCGCCTGTAGGCCCTGGTTTTCAGGCTTTCAGCCTGAATTTCAGGCTTTCGGCCTGAGGGACGCAGGGCCTGGAAAATGGCCCTCGTGTGCAGGCGCAGCATGTAACACTCCCCCCTCCTTATGAAGTTAAGCCGGGGCGAGGGCGAAGCCGACGATCTGAAGGTGGAACCTGGACGCGGGCGCAGCGTGGAGCCGAAGAGACCGGCTTGCCTTGCATCTTGCGTTCGTAGCGTGCGAGAACGTCTGGAGCTGTTGCTTGAAGTTCTGCACGGGTCAACCAACGGTCAGCTCGGTGTGTGCAGTATGCAAAATGCACCAAATACTTGGTTGGCCTGTTGCCGTAGCGTCGCTGGGAGATGATGTCACTGACCTCCTGAAAACCGTCCATAGAGGGTGGGTCTTGCGAACGTCTCCCGGGAATCGTCATGTTCCGTTGGCGTGTAAAGAGCCAACTTGGAGCAATGAAAGACTGGGTAGACGGGCAAGTGGGCGGCACCTGAATCGTGAAGGAAGGTCCCTCAGGTGCGTCCCTAGCGGGTGCTACGATTGGCCAAGACCCCATCCATTTCGGGAGGAGCTTGCGAGAGATATCTTGTTCAAGGCTGAATTCCGCGGCGGAGACCCAAAGGAGATCGCCGGCGTGGAATGGGCAAGGAAGACGCTGGCGATTGGCCTGCTGGCTCATGCGTTGTTGCGTCTTGGCCATCTGATCGCGTGCCTTGACAAGTAGCTCTTGCATCCGACGCAAGAAAAGAAGATGGTCGTCACTCTCGGCTGTTCGTGGAGCGATAGTGTCCAACGGCGAAGTGACCGGCGAGCCGTGCTCGAACTCGAAAGGCGACATCCCGATAGCCGGGTGGATAGAGGAGTTGTAGGCCAACTCGACATCCGGCAGCCGCTCAACCCAGTCCTTCTGGTCAGAGGGGGATGAGAGTGCGAAGGAGAACCTGTGCGGTCTGATGCGCCCTCTCTGTCTGGCCATCGGTTTGGGGGTGGCGAGCCGAACTTGGCTTGAGAGATGAGCCCCATCGTTTGATGAGCGCCAACCAAAAATCGGACATGAACCGAGTGTCGCGATCACAGACGATTTCCTTGGGGTAACCCTTGGTTCGAATCCAACTGGCGTAGAGAACCTCGGCCAACTCCGGTGCCTTGGCATGATAGCGACAAGGCAAAAACATGGCGAACTTGGTGAGTCGGTCGACCACCGTGAGAATCCCATCCACTTCGGTCTTGTGCTTGGGAAACGGGCCAGTAACGTCCATGGCAATCGCTTCCCTTCGCCCCAACGGGACCGGTAATGGTCGTAACTCGTCGTACGGATGATGGTTGCGGAATTTGCAGCGTCGGCAAACCTCACATGACTCGCAATAGCGTGTGACGTCGCCGAGAAGGCCGGGCCACCAAAATCGCACACGAAGTCGGCCAATCGTGCAATTGACTCCAAAGTGTCCGGTGGCGGGAGCATCGTGGAACTCGCCAAGAATCCGTGTACGCAAGTGAGGATCACTCAGTACGCAAAGGTCCTTCCCCCCCGTGTGGACAAGCAAGTACCCCTCTTGGATCCGGAAGTGAGAAGCCGTCGGATTAGGAGAGGAGCAATTCGCGTACTTGTCGCGAAACTCGGGGTCGGCTTGGTAGCCGCGGGTGAAGTTGTTCCGCAGGTCATCGTCGATCTCGAAGGTTGAGTAGACCGCGGTACAATGATCCGGACGTCGTGAGAGAGCATCCGTAAAACGGTTCGACTTCCTCGGAATGTGATCGGGAAAGAAGTCGAACTGCTTGATGAAAGCCATCCATCGAGCGATGGTGCTGTTGACGGTGTTTTGGGTCTTGTAAAAGACCAACGGATTGTTGTCCGTTACCCATCGGAATTGTCTTCGACCAAGGAGGAAGTGCCACCATCGCTTGAGCGTGTGGACGAAGGCGAGGAACTCCTCCTTGCGTGCATCGTCAATGGAATGCAAGACCGGCACTTTCTTGCTGAAATACTCGACCGGGTGCCAGTCCCCGCCATCGTGTTGCTCGAGGATGGCACCAATGCCATAGCCGAACGCATCCGTAGTGACGCGCGTAGGCAAAAGCGGGTCATATATGCGCAAGACCTCCGCAGATAATAGCGTGGCTTTGAGAGCCAAAAATGATTCCCGCGCCTCCTCTCCGAAGTCGAGCGACCGATCCTCGCATTGAAGCGTGGTCAAGTGGGCCGCGATCTTCCAGTAGCCTTTGATGAAACGTTGATAGTAGCAGGCGAGGCCAAGGAACGAACGGACATCCGTGACGTTCCGAGGCTCCGGCCACTCTTGGATGGCTTGAATCTTGTCAGATAGCGGACTGATGCTCTCCGATGTGACAAAATGGCCCAAGTATTCCAGCTCTTGCCGGGCAAATTCGCACTTGTCGCGGTTGGCCTTGTACTTGGCGCAGCGGAGCGTCTCCAACACTCGTCGAAGATGCCCAAGATGATCCTCCAATATCCGGCTATAGAAGAGAATATCGTCTAAGTAGACCAGCACGAACCGGTCCAACATTGCATGAAACTCGTTGGTTATTGCCGCTTGAAAGGTCGTCGGGGCGTTGGTGAGGCCAAAAGGCATGACCACCCACTCAAAATGTCTGTACCGCGTCTTGAACGTGGATTTGTAGCGATCGTTCGGACGGATCGAGATTTGATGATATCCCGACTTCAAATCCAACTTAGAAAAATACTTTGCGCCGCCCAATCGCGCAAGAAGATCGTCGATGCGAGGAAGAGGCCCCGCATTCTTGACGGTTTGAGCGTTGAGCTTGCGGTAGTCGATACACAGTCATGGATCCTTGTTCTTTTTCCGGACGAAGAGAACTGGTGCTCCATATGGGGAGCTACTAGGGCGGATCCAGCCCTTGGCCAACAAATCGTCGAGTTGTGCGCGGAGGACCTCAAGCTCCTCCTCGCTCATCCGATAGATGCAACCTTTCGGCGGCACGACACCGGCCGAGAATGATCTCGTGAGAGATCAGCCGATCCGGCACCACACCGGTAGGTGACTCGAAGATGTCGGTGAACTCGTCCAGCAACCGCACCACCCGGAGGTCCGAAGACAAGTCCGTGGGTGAAGAGTCGGCTACCGCGACGGTCCATAGGAAACATAGGCCGATCTCCTCGGGCTGCTCGTAAGCGCAAGTCGCCCGGAATGATTTGGCCGTCACCACTTGGCACCGAATCGAAGGGTGCGGTAGAGGAATACTACACGCCACTTTGACGTCGAAGGCGTCGCGAACGCTAAGAGTCCGCCAGTGGAAGTTGACCGTGTGATCCGCACTTGCAAGCCAAGGCATTCCCAGAATGATGTTGAAGTCCGTGTCCAAAATGTCGAATGTCACCGGTTCGCATGCATGAGGTGCGAAATACACCTGTATGGCCTCGATGTAACGGTCGAGAAGTTGCTGCATCTTTCCATCCGCCAACTTGATCGCCGTCGGGTTTGCCTTCCTCCGAACTTGTGCGCCAAGGCCAACCCTTTGCATAAAGGCTTGACTCATGAAATTGCGAGACACGCCGCTATCCAACAAAGCGCTGCAGGAGGCTTGCCCAACCTGGATGCGGACATACATGAGCGGTGCGTTGTTGTCATCGTACCGCTGCGTGCGAAACTCGCGGGCCACCTTGGTAACATACGCAAGGATGTCCCCCACCACGACTTCGTCATCCGTCGGCGAAGTTGGTGGTGCATAGAAGGATAAGTACGTGTGGAGATGAGCGCATAGTGCTGCGCATTGCGGTCCCGGTAGGCGGCCCGTGGTCCGGAGAGGAAGCCATGCAAAGTCCTCCGTGAGCGGGTCCAATACCTCTATGTTGAACTCGCGTGCCGAATCCCGTGAAGAACCACTTGAAGACAATAAGTCGCCGCTGCCGGACGGAGAAGATGCCGCACAAACGTCTTGTCCTTGAGCTTGAGTACCCAGCGTAGGAACGAGCCGGGCAGCATAGTCCTCAAAAGAAAGTAGAAGAGGAGGACTACCGACTTCCGCATGCGCCTCGGAATGAAGGCCGGTCACTCGCAAAGAGACCGGTTCCGGAGGCGTCGAGAGTGTCGTCGAGTCACTCTCGGCGGTGCTCAGTTTCCCTGTTTGCCCTTGCCTTTCAATGGGCAGGCCAGTGTCTCATGGAGATCGTTGTTGCACCATAGGCAATAGTGGAATCTCGTGCGCGCCTTGAATGCTTGCTCGGAGATGCCGTATTGGGACCATGGGGCTGGAGCTGCTGCGCCGGGCCCGAGGCTAGATGCGGTGTTTGTCTTCGTCTTGCCGCGTCCTCGACCTTTGTCGGGGCGGCCACTTTCCCGGGCGGCTGCGAGTCTGTCCCCTTCATTGGCAGACACGGCCTCACTAGTTTGGTCAAACAGCGTTGCTGCCGCGACCACGACCACTCTTGGCCGATGCTGGTCTCTGCTCGGGCTTGACGCAGACGAACGCAGGTTCTTAGCCTCCTTGTTCGTGATGATAATCTGCGCGGCCTTATCAAAGAGTTCCGCCGTTGTCGTCAAGGTGTCCTCGACGTGAGTCAGGGCATTGCTTAATGCCAGACAGGACCTTGAGATGAAATAGTGGCGGATGGCTTTGAAGCCCATCTGGATGTCTGGGACTGATGTCAAGCGTTCGTACTCGACAATCCAGTCGACACTCGGCAGCGTGCCTTGCTCGAAGACCATTAGCTTGTCCATTGCCTTAATCTCCAACGGCTCTACTTGGAACCGCTTGTGCCACACCGCCTTCAAATCATCCCAGTTGATCTTGGTCTGCAAGTCGGCAGCTACCACTGCGTACTTGGACAAGAGATTGTCCAACCATGCTTGGCACGCGCCCCTTGACCGGGAGTATAAGTACGCGTGGTGCTTGTGTTCTTTGACGTAGTGTAGCTGCAGTGTGAGCTCGAACTTGCGGAACCATGAAATTGGATCTGTCTTCGTCGAGTCGCAGAAGATCTCCTGCCCGTCGAACTTTGGAGTTGTCTCGCGCGATTCCGAACTCTAGTGGTTGGCGGCAGTGCAGATCCGTTGTTCCAACTGTTGCGTTGCGGTCTGCTGTAACTGCACGCCGTCCTTAAGGGAGCCGACGTCCATCTCCAATGCTTCGAGGCAATCGGAGGTGTTGGAAGAGCTTGCATCGGGGGCGGCGAGAGGTCGCTGCTCCAGCTGCCGGAGGCGGTCGTGGACTTGAGTCAGCGTGTCGTCGAGGCTATGGATGTCCTCCTGCTGTGTAATGCATGTCGCCAGGAGGTCTATGAGATGGGAGAGGAGTACAGCGATCTTATTTTCGCTGTCCTCCATCTTGCCATTCTCGGCCTCGGTCCGCCATTCTGCTGCCATTGTGAGCAATGTTTGCTCTCCGCTAAATATCTTCTCTCGCCGTTGAACTCGTTCTTCATCATCAGCCTTTGCTGGTGCCTCGTCGTGCTGGCGCTGTTGTTCAAGTGCCAGCAGACGTGCCTGCTCGGCGTCCTCTACCTTCTTCTTCGCTCCTGTTGCTGCGTCATCCGCCCGTCTCTTTGTTTCAGTACTCCAGGCCAGCATCCGGGCGTGATAGGCCTCGTCGGCTTCTCCGGACCTCTGGTCCATGACGGTTGTTTGTGAACACAACAGCATAGACCAGGTCGGGGGCCTGCTGACGTGGTATTCCCTGCTGCTGACGTGGTGAACGCAACAACATAGACCAGGTTGGGGGCCCGCTGACGTGGTATTCCCTGCTGCTGACGTGGCACTGCTGTCGGTTGACGTGGCCTGCTGACGTGGCCTGCTGACGTGGCCTGCTGAAGTAGTCTGCTGACGTGGCCTGCTGACGTAGTCTGCTGACGTGGCCTGCTGACGTGCCCTGCTAACGTTGCAACTTACCGACGCCGCCGCAGGGGGTACCCGGAGACAGGTAGAGAAGGTAGGGCGAGAGGTGGTAACAACATAGGTGGGGAGGGTGGGTGGGAAGAATCGCCCAGATAAGGAGCCACTAATCAAAAAGAAAAGTTTGAACTTTGCAAAAAATTTTCGAGAAAATAAAAAAAATTCCCGAGTTTTGCAAGTTTAGTAGGTCTCCCAACCTCCTTCAAAGTGCGAAATGATTAATGAGAGAAAAAATTTCGACTTCGGACTGCTGTTACGATCCTGGTCATTTCCAAAGTGCAAATTCACAATGAAAGACAATGCCACCCAATTGCGAAAGAAATGAAAGCACTTGCAAAGAGATAGAGACCAAAGGAGAGAGAAAGAAGAAAAGAAGAAGAAGAAGATATGCACCAGCAAGACCAATGACAATTCCCCCTTCTCTCTCCACCTTCCTCCTCCTCCTTCACTTCGCCAATCTTATTCTTCTCCCAATAATAATAACAACAATGAGTGGATGAACCAGAATCAATACCCGAAGTTCCCTCTTACTGCTAACTCAACAACAACAACAACAACAACAAGTCCACCATAACTATGGATTCCCTCCTTCTGCCCCCTCTCACATGCATAGGCTATGGTGGACTACTGAGGGCCCTGCCCTCCTGTCCAAAGGACAACCCAAAGCAGCTATGGCGCTGCACTCCTGTCCAAAGGACAACCCAAAGCAGCTATGCTGCTGCTGACTGGTCCGCCATGCCAGGCTCTGCCTCGAGCTTCCTTGGTGCGGCACTACCCCAACTGGGGCCTTCCAGATGCAGCGCCCAACAAGGTGATGAAGATGGTGTCCACCATAGCCAGGTAGGTGCCTCGCCACCCTCCTCCTTCGCCCCCTTCTTCCTCCTCCTCAGGTTGCGCTGCTCGCCATAGCCAGGCTGAGCGCCCAGGCTGCCCTTCACCTCCAGGTAGCGCTGTATCAGCCCAGCGCTCCGCTCAGCAGCATGTCGCCAATCCTTGCATACCGCAAATGAGGAGGAGCTACTTGCTCCTCCGAAAGATATAGCGGCCTTCTGGCCTCCTGGGCGGTGACTTCCTACGCCGAGCGGCCTCCCAGCAACCGGTACCTCCTCCCTTTCGGAGGGAAACATCATTGCAGGCTCTGCCCGCCTCCAGACAGGCCCTAGACCCGGGCTACTTGGACTGGTACCGGCCTACCTCTAGCCTACCGCTACTGGGCCTCTAAAAATGCCAACTTTTGTCTTCTTCTGCTCGGCCTCCAGTACCCGACACTTCTACCACTACTTCAGTGGTACCGGCCTACCTACTACTTGAGTGTTTTTCCCCTCTGCTCTAAGTGCCATGGGCCTACCCCCAATACTCGAGTGTTTTCCCCCCTGCAACCCTTCACAGTCACGACCACAGGTAAGTACCGGCCCTGCGGGGCCTTTAAACCAACAAGTACTCTTGAGGGTCACACACACACTCAGTCGACAAGCACTCAGACAGGCATGCAAACCAGCAGGCACACACACACACACATACATGGAAATCACAGCAGAATGCGGGAATTTCAGCAAGGCATTCATTCCAGCGGCAAATCCCAGAAATCAGAAGTGTTCTCAGTCTGTGTTTTTGGCGGGTCATTACACTACCCCCCTCTCAAGAGCGAGGTCCCTTCGAGCGAGTAACTCATTCAGAGTCGACACAAAATGCGTCGTCGGCGTAGATCAAAAAGAGAGATTTAGTAAGACCGTAGGGAGTGAGTTTTGCAGAAAACTTAGCAGTCTGTCCATCAACGATCTGTCGTTCATAAGCGTTCACAACACATGGAGCATTCTTTAGCAGCTCTTTCCGGTCGATCCAGAAAAACTCGTTCAACGGGTGATAGAGGAAGTGAACCTTAGACTGTCTGTTCCTCCCTCTGCCTTCATGGGAAGCGATTCTGTCTATCTCATGGCCGTCGTCGATAGGACGAGGTATCATAGGATCTCGGAAGGGAAAAGTTTCATCATCGATGTGCGGAAACAGTTTGGATGCATGAAAGATCGGATATGTGCGCAGATAAGGAGGCACATCAATCACATACGAAGGACCAAATTCATCCCCAATCACCTTCAGAACCCGCCAACGGCCATAGTACAATGGAAGAAGCTTTCGTGATACGCCTTCTTCATCAGAAAACTCAGACATTTTGACCCAGACATAATACCCTACTTTGAAGTCGCTTCTTTGCGCGACTTGTTAGCATGTTTGATCATGGCATGCTGACGCTTCTTCATTGCTGTGATAGCAACTTTGAGCAGGCATGCGTACTTGGCATTGTAGCCAGGCATGCCGGGCGTCAGACCAGGGGACCGTTCGGGGAACAAATAGGAGAGAGGATTGCGCATCTGCCAACCATATTGCAGTTGATTCGGTGTTACGCCAGTTGCAGAGTGAATGGAGGTGTTGTACAACCCTTTCACTTTGTGTAACTCCTTGTCCCACGTGTTCTGATCTGGAACAATTAGCGCACAAAGTAGTTGAATGACAGTCTGGTTGATTTCCTCGGCCAATCCATTGGCTTCCGGGTGTCGACCAGAAGTCTTGTTGAGTTTAATGTCATAAATCTGTGAGGTGAAGTCCTTCCAATCAGCACTAATGAACCTGGTTTCCCGATCACTCACAAGAGTTTTCGGGGTTCCATACTGCAGAATGTACTGCTGGTGAAATTCTTTGATTACAAGCTCAGTTGGTGCATGAGGAGGTAGAGGAATCAAGTTCATAAATTTGGAAAAGCAATCCACAATGACCATGACTTGTGAATGTCCTCCCTCACTCACCTTCCCCATGTCCGTGAAATCGATAGAGACCGACTCACCGGGCCCATCAGGAATTGGGAGGGGTTTCAGCAGGCCATACGGCTTATGCCTATGGACCTTGACTCTTTGACAAACTTGAAATTCAACAATAAATTTTTGAGCAGATCCTTTCATTCCCGGCCAATCAAACTGCTGCAGAAGACTTCCATAAGTCTTCTCAAAGCCGAAATGTCCACTCCGACCATGTGTCAAATCCAAGAAATGAGTCCAGAGAGGCGGATGGTTGGGTACACACAAACGATCAAATTTCCCATACCGGCGGAATACAAGACCCTCGCACTCGTGAAAATCTGGCTAACTACTAGGGTCAGCCTTGAGCTGCTCAAGGATGGGATTAAGGTCCGGATCCTTGGCAGTGTGTTCGACCAGATCCTCCTTCAATTTCCTTCGGAGGTCATAAGAGTCCAGAAGGCAAGTCAAATACTCAGGATGACGCGACAAAGCATCAGCAACACGATTATAACAGGCTTTCTTATGCTTCGGTTCAAAGTTGTAAACATCAATGTCATGCAGCCAGAGGGTCAGTGTCGGGGAGAGATCAGTTTGTGTCTTAATCCACTACAAGGTCTGATGATCTGAGTAGACCTTGAAGTGACGACCCAAGAGGTAGTGCTTCCAATGCGTGAGCGCCTCGCTCAAGGCGTAGAGCTCACGCATGTATGTGGAGGTAGCTATCTTGTGGATGGGCATGCGTTTGCTGTAATATTCGAGCGGACGCAGGCCATCGCCATCATTTTGTTGCAGCACTGCACCAATCCCAAACTGGTTTGCGTCCGTAGTAACCACGAACATGAGGTTGGGATCCGCAATGCGGAGCACAGGATGACTCACCAAAGCCTCTTTCAAGGCTTGGAACGCAGTCTCACATTTCTCACACCACGCATAGGCAACATTCTTACTTGTGAGTCTCGAGAGTGGGTGAGCAATGACAAAAAATATGGGCACAAACTTCCGATAATATGAGGCCAAACCAAGAAAAGAACGCAGTTTGCGTTCGTTCGTTGGTTGAGGTCACTTTCGGATGACCTCAACCTTGGTTGCCTCCGGCTCAAGGCCGTTTGCAGACAACTGGTGCCCAAGATAGATGACGCTGTCCCTTCCAAACTCAAATTTCTCCAAGTTGAGGTGTAGTTGTGCCTCCTTGAGGACCTGCAAAACCTCCTCAAGGTGCTTGACGTGCTCTTCCATGGACTTGTTGAAAATCAGGATGTCATCGAGGTAAACAACAACAAACCTGTTGAGCTGATGGTGGAGAACCTTGTCCATGAGGCACTGAAATGTGGGAGGTACAACAGGTTGCAGTGGCCTCACCATAGGTCGAGGCGCCCGTGCCGCATCCAAAATCCAGCTCCGGCCAGGTATCAGAGCAGCCAACAATTCTTGTTGCACGGCCTGTACTTCGGCCACACTCAACAAAGAATTCCGAAGAGACCTAACAACAGGATCAATGGTTGACTCATCTATAGCTTTTAGTTTGCCTAGCTCCTTTGTCCCTCCCTCTAGCCTAACTTTTCTTATTTTAGTTTTTTCTCCCTTATCCTCTACTTCCTGCAATTGGCGCTGTAACTCTGCATGGAGCGCACCCATTTGCTGGATCTCATAATCCTCATATGACATGGGTTGCTGCTGGATGACCTGCAAGCCAGCAGACTGACTAACAAGGATGAGACATACCCAAACTGGCACCTGGCGAAGAGGCCTGAAATGACACCTGTGACATTGCAGAGATGGTAGCCATGGCTGCCTTTGCCATGGCCCTAGTGTCTGCTGCTAATGCTGCTGCAAGTGCCCTTTTTACATTGGCTGCTGGTTCCCTTGCCCTTTGCAAGTTCCTCCTCTCTCTGGCTTCTCTTCACAGTCTCCTTTCCTCTCCTGGCACTAACACCAAGAAAGTGGTTGGCCGACTGAGTGCAAGTCTACAGGTAAGCCTCATATTGTCCCGGTCTAGTCCCTCATCCTCACAGTTATCTCCACTCATGAGCTACTTGTGC